TTGTGGCCACATCAGTCACCTTCTGTCTCTGTTGTCATGTGGCATTCTCCCTGTGTCTCTCTCTGTCCAAATTTCTTGTTAGAGAACACCAGCCGTATTGGGTCAAGGCCCACTCTATTCCAGAGTGAGCTCATTGGAACAAATTGAATGTGTGATGACCTGATTTCCAGATAAGCTTACGTCCTGAGTTACTGGGGGTAGGACTTCAGCATCTTTTTGAGGGACACAATTCAACCTGCAACAGTCCACCCTCCAGCTCCCCTGAAATTCATGTCCTTCCCACATGCAAAACACATTCAAGCAACATCCCCAGAAGTCTTAACCCTTCCAGCACCAACTCCAAGTTCACAACAACCCCAAAGTTCAGCATCTAAGTAGCATCTGATTTGGTGCAGCTCGTTCTGGCCAGGGTTCCTCTCCGGCTGCGAACCTGGGAGAGCGGACAGGTAGTTGCTGCTTCCAGAATGTGTTTGTGGGACAGTGTAGGGCAGACTCCGCATTCCAAGAGGAAGACTTCTGAAGAACGGAAGGGGTCACAGGCCCCAAGCAAGTCCGAAAGCCAGTGGAAGAACTTGTGTGACCTCATGGTCATGTTCCCAGCCTGCTGGCCAGGCCTCCACATCACAGCCCTGTGTGCAGACCCAGGCTCTCCCGTGGCTCCCCCTCTCTCTCAGCGCAGGCTGTTGTAAAACTCTCTGGAGCCTTGTCCATTCTCACGCACCCCCTTCCTGGACAGCCCGTCTCCATCCTGGCTCTTCTGGGGCTGCCGGTGGGCTCCCGCTTCAGAGTGTAGGTCTCTGGTACCCTTGGGGGCTCTGTGTCGAGCACGCATGGAGCACCCCTGCGCGGTCCAGGCTCGCGTGCTGCCATGCACCACCCTCCCACACTTCCCTCAGTCTGGCGTGCTCACACGGGCTCTGCCACTGCCTGGCAGCGTCGCACATTCTCCAGTTTGACACCTCCCCAGCGTGGCTTTCCTGGCCACGTTCCCGGCAACTTGCCCTTCGGGGCAATGCAGCCATCACGAGCGTGTGGCTCATGCACTCCCAGCCTCTGCCCGCCCCCCCCGACTCCGTGGACTCCCACATTCCTGAGTATTTGCTACAGTGGCACCCGCTTTACGGGACCAAAATGTGTGCCTTTCTTGTGGCTGCCAGAACAAAGTGCCACAACTGGGGTCCTCAGAACAAGCTTTTCCTCCGTTCTGCAGGGCAGCAGGGAGACCAGGGTGTCAGCAGGGTGTGGGCTGGTCCTTCCCGCCCCCCAGCATCGGGGAGCAGGTTTGAGGGCCTTGCTTGGTGTCTTGGCTGTGGCTGCGTGCCTGCAGTCTCTGCCTCTGTCCTTCCCGCCCCCCCCCCCCCGAGGACGCTGACCGTGTTCCGTCAGGGCCCCCTGTACTCCAGATGACCTCATCTTAACTGGCCCCACCTGCCATGACCCCATCTCCAGCTCAGGTCACACTCTGGGGTCCTGGATGTTAGGACGCAGACGTGTTTCTCGGAGGCTGCAGGGATCTGTCAGTGGCCCTCACTGCGTGTTCAGTGCCTACTGACTGAGCTGGCTGAGCGGGTGGGAGCCAGAGCCCTGTCCTCTCCTGCTGCTGCTGCTGATGGCCGGGTGGGGGCAGGTCAGGGAGCCCTTCGCTCCCTGGTGCCAGGCTGCGGGGTTGCCGGTGCTGACTCCGGCCTTCCCCAGGCCATGCGGACCCTCAGCTGGAAGCACACCCTGGGTCTGGTGACCATGGACGTGGAGCTGGCCGACCGCACCCTGTCTGTGGCAGTGACTCCTGTGCAGGCGGTGGTCCTGCTGTACTTCCAGGACCAAGGTGAGCCCGCTGACCCCTCACCGGCCAGCCCCAGCCATGCCCCCCCCATGCCTGCCCCCCTGGTCCTGCTGACCTCCAGGAAGCCAGGTGGTGGGGGGGCAGGGAGGCTTGGCCTCGCCCCGTGTGCCCAGTGCTCGCGGCTGCTCCACACAGCCAGCTGGACCCTGGAGGAGCTGAGCAAGGTGGTGAAGATGCCCGTGGCCCTGCTGCGGCGGCGCATGTCGGTGTGGCTGCAGCAGGGCGTGCTGCGTGAGGAGCCTGCCGGGACCTTCTCTGTGGTGGAGGAGGAGCGGCCCCAGGACCGGGACAGCATGGTGCTCATCGACAGCGACGAGGAGAGCGACTCGGGCATGGCCTCGCAGGCGGACCAGAAGGAGGAGGAGCTGCTGGTGCGGCTGTGCTGGGGGGCGGCGGCCTGGCTCAGCCCTGGCGAGGTGGCAGCCCGGCGGGTGGTGGCCCGACTGCCGGCCTGGTCTCTGTCTCCCCAGCTTTTCTGGACGTACATCCAGGCCATGCTGACCAACCTGGAGAGCCTCTCGCTGGAGCGCATCTACAGCATGCTCCGCATGTTTGTGGTGACCGGCCCCGCGCTGGCCGAGATTGACCTGCAGGAGCTGCAGGGCTTCCTGCAGAAGAAGGTGCGTGACCAGCAGCTGGTCTACTCGGCCGGCGTCTACCGCCTGCCCAAGAGCTGCAGCTGATGCACTCCACGGGGCCCTTCCCGCACCATCCACCCCACCCACCCCCCGCCCCTGCCCAGCCCCCAGAGTGCAGAGTAAAGCAAATGGTTCTCTATCCTTTCCCTGTCCTGGTGGTTTTGTGGGCCATCATGAGCTTGTGGGCCAGGTTCTCCCTCCACACTGACCTCTCCACCCCCACTCAGCAGGACCTGGCTCCCTGGGAGCAGGTGAGGGGAAACATGAGTGGCCGGGCCCAGTCCTGGCCTGCACACCCATGTTTGAGCTCCAGACCCAGAGTCCTGGCACATGGGTGTCCCTAGGCCACACCAGCTGGGGAAGGCCCACCTCTGAGCCTGAAGCTCAGGCAGGAGCACACCGGAGGCCTCCAGCCCCAAGCCTCACTCTGGCCTTTGGAAGGAGCCCTTGGGTCACCCGCCCTCTTCCTGGCCTGAGGCTCCAGGGCTGTTGCTGGGACACGTGGACGCCACTGGAATGTGTGAGATGGGCAGGCAGCTGAGCGTCCCCTGATGGACCAAGAACTCCCCATGTGTGCAGCAGGAGGGGCTGGCTATTTGTGGCTCACAGTGAAGCTGGTTTCTGTGCCCTCAGACTCGTGGTCGGGAGCACACCGGGGCCTCAGCGCTCAGAGTACAGGTGAAGAACCCTGTGAGCCCAGTCTTCCCAGTGCAGCTGGGAGGCCAGCAGTGTCCAGAGCACACACGGGGTCCTGTGCAAGGGGTTTTAGGGGCCTGGCACTGCCCCAGCCCTGAGGTCCCAGGAGGCAGGGAAGGGTGTTGGCTCCACCCAGTCTGGTGCCATGGCCTCCGGTGCTGGGAGCTCCACTCTAGCTGGTGGCACTGTCCTCCAGGCAACAGAGGCCCTTTGGAATGAGCCTCCACTTCTGCTCCCACCTGCCCAGGGTGCCTTCCCAGGCCCGGAGCCATGCCTCTTGCCTCTACACACTCTTGGGTCCCCCCGACCCCCTGCCGGCTGTCTTCCAGTGCCTACCCCCGCTTCTCCACTTTGGCCTGTTGCACAGGGCCCTGCAGTCAGCGCTGCTCTGGGACCTCCCCTTCTTACCCCAGAGTGTTCTGTTTGCCACGGGTTTGGAGGGCAACGTGGTGGGAACCAGGTGCGTAGTTGTAGCAGCTGACATCTCCTGCACTCTGCCCGCCACCAAGGCTGCTGAGCCGTGGTCACTAGAAGAGGGGCCTCCCGCTTTCCTCCGGGTTCTGGTGGGGGCCCAGGAGGAGGCTCTGACAGCCCACATGCCCTCCAGGCGGAAGGCCACCTGGCACTGGGCTGAGTGTACCTTTGTCATCCTAACCAGGGTGCAAACCTGCTAGACCGGCCTGGCAGGGGGCTGTGTCCGCTTCTGGGCACGGCCCTCCTGCTTCCTGTCCCTTCTGACTTGGTTTGTGGATGAATGTGGTAAAAAAGCTGTGTCTTGGGTCACAGCATTACTCGTCAGGCCAGAAACCGCTGGCTGGTCCCTGAGGGCTCCCCTAGGAGGGGCCACCTGTGTCTGGAGTCAGGGAGGTCCCCAGCGAGCAGGGGTCAGCTGGGGCCCCTCTGCACCCTTGCGCCTGGCGCCCTGTGGGGTCAGCTGTGGGGTGGGGCAATTCCTCCTGCTGCCTGGGTGGTTTGCTTGGCCAGGTCCTTAGGGGAGGAGGGAGGAGGCCTCAGGGTGGAGAGACAGTGCAGGAGACCAGGGAGGAGGCTGAGGTTAACTCTAAAGATGCCATCCTGCAGGTGAGTCCCTCAGGCAGCGCTTGTCAGGTGGCAGGAAGATGCACCAGGAAGCAGCCCTCAGAGGGTCAGCTGGGCTCCGGCTTGAAGGACACTTAAGCTGGAGCCTCAGGTGCTACCTGCAGCTGCTTCTGAACCAGGTGCACCCAGAGGATGTGGTGCTGGGGACACCTGTGGGCAGTGCCCCCCATCTCTCCTGGGGGGTGGAAGAACCCCTGCAGGTTCCTCCGGACCTGAGCATTGCTGGGAGGTGGGTGTGGGCGGGACCCGGCGGGACCCTCCCCAGGACAGCCAGCGTGAGGGAGGGCAGTGAGCGCAGGTCCACGCCTTGCCCACCCCTTGGCCCCTGCTTGTCCCAGCCTCCAGGGAGCCTGAGAGAGGAACCAGGGCCTGTGCTGCACGCTCTGGGCCCCCCAGGGTTTCCAGGCCACTGTCTCCACCTTCCCGGGGGCCTAGGTGTGGACTCCACCCCCTTCCCCACGAAGCACACCCCCCCCCCCCGCCCAGGCCAGGGCAGCCCCATCCTTGCCTTGGCCTTGGGTCTGGTAGGGCATTCAGAAGTGGCTCTCAGGCCCCTCTCCACCCTACCTGCCCCACCCCAGGGCTGCCTGCCCAGGGCTCCTCCACTTGGGCACCGAGCTCGAGTGAAGCTCAAGCTGAAGCCCTGCCCCCACCCGCTCTGCTTCAGGGCCCTACTGTGAGGTCAGCGCCTTCTGATGGGTTCCGTCCGGAGGTGTGTGGTGGGGTTGGGGGCTGGACATGGCCCCCTGTCCCCGGCCTGACTCCTGCCTGGTCGGCAGCCCCCTTGGCCTCCTATGTTTGTCCCTTTTGCTCGTCCCTGCTGCAGGTGCCTCCTCCTGCCCCCGAACCCCGCCCCTCCCCGTACCCTTCTGGTGGCCGCCAGGGTGAGGGGCGGCCCTGGGGTCCTCCGCTGGCGGGTGACGAGGGCCCCTCGGCCGCACGGGCCCTGTCTCTGCAGCTGGGACGTACTGCGAGTGCAGCCTCGGCCTCAGCCGCGAGGCCCTCATTGCCCTGCTTGTGGTGCTGGCAGGCATAGGCGCCAGTTGCCTCTGCAGCCTGGTCATCGTGGCAGTCGGTGTCATGAGAGCCAAGAGGTGCATGAGCCCAGGGCTGGGGGGGTGGCTGAGGGCCGCAGGGCCGTGCTGGGGGATGGTGGGGGTCAGCAGGAGCCGGGACGCCGTTTCCCAGGCTGGGCCGCGGAGAGGCGGGGGGCTGGGGGCACGTCTGGGCTCTGCTGTCCCAGGATTCACATCTCCCCTTGTCCCTCCAGTGAGCCATGCCCCAGACACACGAGCAGCAGGTGAGTAACCTCAGGGGAGGCCCACAGGTGAGCTGTGCCCCAGCTTCCTGCCCCTGGGAGGTGCAGGGGGGTCACAGATGGGTCACGAGCACTGACTGGAGGCCCGGGCCCACCCTGGGAGGGGGGCCAAGGCCTTGCGAGGCCTGTGCTGGTGGCTGCCTGCAGCCGGCCTGACCCGGCCCCTGTCGTGCAGGTTGGTGGGGCGCTACGGAGTCCAGGAGGATCGCATGGACCTGCACTCCGTGCAAGTGGAGTCCCATGTCATGGACCCCGACCTGGACTCCATGCTGCCGCCCCTGGACGAACAAGGCCTCATGGCCATTCCCATGGACCCGATGACCCCAAACATGACTGTGGAGGAGCAGCTCCCTCTCACCCCACCAACCTGAGTAGGGCTGCAGGCAGCCTGGGGGAGGGGAATTAAACAGTATTCAGTGCTTCTGCCCTGTCCTCCCTGCAGACTCATCCTCGAGCCCCGGTGCAGCTGTGCACCACGGGGTGCGGAGGGCTTTGTGCGCACCTAGGTCCCCTCCTGGATCTTGGGTGGGAGGAGAAGGCACCCACTGTCCACCCTCCAGGGCAGGGAGGCATAGCCCTGGTACTTCCACCTCCTCCTGCCCTGGTCTCAGCCTGGCCCCTCCCCTCATCTGCCTGCGGCCGTATTCCATGAAGTTGGCGGGGGCGCGGGGCCCCTGTCGCCCCACCCCCACCCCGGGAAACCCCAGGGCAGGGTGTGTGACTCTGATGACCCCAGAGGGAGCAGTGTTTGACAGGAGAACTTGCGCTGGTGCCTCTGCCCTACCCACACTGTCTCCTTGAGGTTCTAGGACAGTCCTTACAGGGCCAGGTGGGGCAGACATGACTGTCCCCCTGTCTCGTACCCCCTCCACCCTCCAGCTTACCCCCTGAGCTCAGGCCCCCATCATGTGCTCCTGACCCCACCGATCATCCACTATGGGGATGGGACCATCCCTGGGTGGGGGGGCCACTGCGTGTGTGCTGGGGTCACTTTGCTGGGCAGGAGATGGGCAGAGACTGGGGAGAGCAGCAGGGCTCACGGAGTCCCATCCCATGCGTGGCATCGATGAGTTTGGTGGGTGTGGGTGTTGTCCAGCGCTCAGGCCTCCGCGGGGCGCAGGGTGGTGGACACCTCGGGAGGAGGGGCGAGGCGTCTTGTCAGCGCCGCAGCTGGCCCAGAGCCAAGAGCAGCCCAGCTCTGGGACAGGTGGCTGGCAGTGCAGGACGCTGGCTGTCTGCCCAGCCCCCGCCCTAGGTGCGGGACTGGCCATGGAACAGGAACTACCGGCACTCGGGCCGGAGATTTAATATTTGTGCAGGCGCCGCAGAGACGCACTGGCTCCGTGGACGCGCGAGCAGCGGGCTCCTAGCGCTGCTCCATGAGGAGCCCCTCCTTTCTCTCGCGGCGGCCGCCGCCGATGTTGCTCCTGCTGCTGTCGCCGTGGCCAGTCTGGGCCCAGTCGTCCACCGCGGCCACCTTCCCAGGAACCCCAGGCACCCCGGACTGCCCCGAGGCGTGCGAGTGCGCGCCGGGCGGCCTGGCCAACTGCTCGGGGCGCGCTCTGCCCGCCGTGCCCGCGGACCTGAGCCGGCGCGTGCGCGCGCTGCTGTTGGACCACAACCGTGTGCGCGCGCTGCCGCCCGGGGCCTTCGTGGGCGCCGGCACGCTGCTGCGCCTGGACCTGCGCGAGAACGGGCTGCGCTGGGTGCACGCGCGGGCCTTCTGGAGCTTGGGCGCGCTGCAGCGGCTCGACCTCAGCAACAACCAGCTGGAGGCTCTCGCGCCCGGCACCTTCTCGCCCCTGCGCGCGCTCCGCTCCCTCTCGCTGGCAGGCAATCGGCTGGCGCGCCTGGAGCCCGCGGCGCTGGGCGCGCTCCCGCTGCTGCACGCGCTCAGCCTGCAGGACAACGCGCTGTCCGCGCTCGCGCCCGGCCTCCTGGCCCGCCTGCCGGCTCTCCACGCGCTGCACCTGCGCGGCAACCCCTGGACCTGCGGCTGCGCGCTGCGTCCGCTCTGCTCCTGGCTGCGCAGGCACCCGAGGCCGGCGCCAGGTGAGCCCTCCGGCCGAGGGTGGGAGGGTCGGGACCCACGGACAGCGTCGCCGCCGCCGCCTGACTCTGCATCTGTGTCCCGCAGAGGCCGAGACGCTGCTCTGCGTGTTGCCAGGGCGCCAGACGCTCAGCCCCTTGACCGCCTTCCCGGACGCCGCCTTCAGCCACTGCCCGCAGCCACTCGCTCTGCGGGACCTGGCGGTGGTCTACGTGCTCGGGCCCGTCTCGTTCCTCGCCAGCCTGGCCGCCTGCCTGGCGTTGGGCTCCGTGCTCACCGCCTGCCGCACGCGGCGCTGCCGCGCCACTGCCCTCAGCCGCCTGAGGGGACCGCGGGACTCTGGCCCTGGGAGCCCCGCCGCCTCTGCTCAGGCCTGAGCGGGCCTTGGCTGTTCTCGAATCTTCCCCTGTCCCCTGCCCTTCTTCACAGTCCCTGCACGCGTCAACAAGCAACACAGACAGAAATTTTCGTGACATTCCTTTAGACATCACCACTGCACAAACCGGGTCAGGGGCAGCGCGCGCCGGGCCCCTGGGCGGAGGGGCAGCGCGCGGCTGCGCACGGGCCGCACGGGGAAGGCACGCGCTCGACGCTGGAAGGGCTGGGCCTGTACAAGTTGGCGGGCAGGGCTGAGGACAGTCCGGAGCCAGCGCGTGGGGGGAAGCCTATCTTGGGCTGCAGGCTGGAGGAGGCAAACGGCTGGCTCAGCCGTCGCGGAGACCGGAGGAAAGGGTCAGAGGCGGCGGAGAACCCCAGCGCGCTCCCAGGAGGCAGCTGTCCGCTGAGGATCAGAGTCTGCCGTTGGGGAGGGGCAGGGCCAGCTGGATGGAGGGGGGTCCGGCCGAGAAGGGACGAGGGTAAGAAAAGGAGAGGGGTGGAGCCGAGGCTGCCAAGCCAAGAGCAGGCGCTGGAGGAGGGGGTGGCCCAGCCAGTTGGGGCTCGCACCCACACCGTGGCTCTGGTAGTGGCCGGGGAAGGCTGGGGCTTCAGTCTCTGCTCCAAGCCCCTCCGGGGCCAGGTTAGCCCCTCTCCCCCGCTGCTTAGAGACCCCAGGGCCCTGCCTCTGCCGGAGTGCCCTGCGGCCCTGCCCAGCCAGCTCAGCTCTGGCCTGTCCTCAGCCGCTCTGGTCCGAGCCTCGGTCCAGCAGGGGCTGCCCGCCCGGCAGCAGGGCAGACAGACAGACGGGAGGCCCAGGGTGGGCAGTCTTGGGCGGGTGGGCTTCCCTCAGGCCTTCCCGAGCAGCAGGACCCATCAGTGTCCTTGGCCGGGCTAACTGGGCAGGTGGGTGCCTCCGGGGGCCTCACACCACGGTGCTGACCGAGGGATCTGAGAGGTTGAGCGTGCCCGTGATATCAGTGGGATGGTACTGCTGCAAAATAGAAATACACAGACAAGGCAGCCCGTTAGCCCCCACGCTCGGGGGCACGCGCAGGGCCGGGACGGGTGGACCGGCCAGCCGGCCGACCGGCGGGTGGGCGGGCGCGGCCTGGGGGAGGCTGGGGGGGCGCTCCTCCCCCTGACCCCGTCGTGCTCCGGGACTCTGCGTGGGCCGGGCCGCTGTCCCGTCCATCTGTCTGTCTGTCTGCGGGGGAGGGGGGCAGAGGAGGGCGGGCAGGGCGTCTCAGCTCTCCCTATGACGGGCACACATCTGCAGCTGGCCCTCCTCCCTCTCAATAGCGCGTCGCGGCAGCACTGTGTCTTTTTGGTTTTGCAAAGCGCCGCGTCCACCCCCGGTGCTCTATAAATAAGAACCAACAATCAATACCCGCTGGCCCCGCTGGCTGCCAGGGACCCCAGCCCTGAGCGCCCAGTGCTGCCCTGGCCCAGACCGGCCACAGGACAGGGGCAGAGGATCTTAGCAGCCGGATCGACCCCACCCCTCCCAACAGAGCCCCCCACCCAGGCCTCCCTCCAAGCAGGCGCCCAGCCTGAAACAGGATGGGAACTAGGGCTGCCCTCCCCCGCCCGGACCCTCCAGCTGGCAGCACCCCAGTCACCCCTCAGGGCAGGGCCAGTCCCAGATGCCACATGGTGTCAGGGCTGCCCTGGGAGATGGTCCCTGGTGCCCACAGAGGCTCGGGTAAAGAGTCTATTGGGATTGTGTCCCCAGAAAGGCACCTCGAAGGTCTCTGAGTTGCACCTGGACGAGCTAAGGAGCTTTTCTTTGGGTAGGGGTGTTGTTGGGGGGGGGGGGAATCAAGGACGCCCTCACAAGGCAGCCTATCACCTGTGTAACTTTTGTGCTCCTCCCTAAAAGTGCTGTCTACGAGGATAACCTCTCCCCAGGCCTTCCCCACCACCTCTCCTCTCTGGTCTTGGATCTCTTTCTGAACCCCTTGGCAGGGCCCCTGGCTCAACCCACTTTCTCGGGCCTGTGAAGCCCCGGCCTGTGCTCGCAGCTCCCAATCCCTCACTCTTCACCTACCCTCCCAGTGCCAAGCCCCTCCTGGGAAGCAGAGCAGCCAGGCCACGTGGGCCCCTCTGGGGGCACCCTGATGGCTTCACCCTGGCCTCGGATCATTCTGTGCCAAGCCCTGTCCGTGTCCTGGAGATCTGCCTCCTTCCCAGTGCGCTGCGTGTGTGTGTGTGTGCGTGCGTGCGTGTGTGTGTGTGTGTGTGTGCAAATTCCTGTTTCCACCTTGGAGCATAAGCCCCTGCAGGATGGAGGCCAAGCTGGCCCCTGGACGGCAGGGAGGCCAAGGACAGTGCTAACTCTGGGCTGCCCCCTCCCCACCTTGGATCGGGGTGCCCCTAGCAAGCCTGGGTCCATTTGAAGGGCTTTGATTCCAAGTGTGCACATCTGGTGTGGTGACAAGCTGTCCAGGGTAGGAGGCCCTGCTCTGACGCCCTGTGGGGAAGGGCTAGAGGGTCGGGAGCTGAGGAGCTGCCCTCCTCCCTCGAGGCCTCTCCTTCCTGGGCCTCTGTCTGGGAGCCTCAGTGACTCCGGCTCTGCCTGGGGTGGGCTCCACCCCTCTAGTGCCACCCAGTCCCCGCCTGGCGGTCCCCTGTGGCTGGGGGCCTGTCCCAGTTCCAGGCCCCAGCCGTCCACCCAGATGGAGCCAGGCCCGGCCCCCAGCCCCGGCCCACACAGAGACCACATGGAGGGGATGCAACAGGCATGGCTCTGGTGAGACGCGTGACACAGGTGTCTGGGTGGCGGGGCTGGCAGCCAGACAGATGGGCGGATGGGACACCACAGCCACCCCCCATGGATGTCGCGAGGGGGGAGAGAGGGCAGTGGGCTCCTCTGGGAGAGGCTGGAGAAACGGATGTGACAGAGAGGTGGCGTGGCCTCCCACAGGTGAGGAGTCCAGGACAGATTGGCTCTGGGCTCCCAGGGGCCCTGGGCTCAGAGGCTGACTGGCTGACCAACGACATGACACAGCTTCAAGATGGCGCATGGCGTCATGGCATGGGGGGCAGACCAACGCAGAGACACATGGGGAAAGAGGACCCAGTGAGGGCCAGTGGGAGAAAGGACCAAGAAAGGTCTAGAGAGAGAGTGAAGACCTCATGTGCTGGGCAAATAGAGATGAAGGCAGAAGGGCCACAGCGGTCAGAGGTGGGGGTGGATGGGATGGTGAGGGAGAGGGGGAAGGCACGCCTGAGGCACGGGACACAGACACGGGGGCGGGGCGAGATAAGAGTCGGAGACGTGGGACTGGGCGTTCTTCCCCTTACCGTGTCTTTGGAGGACCTACGTCTCTTGAAGCTGGAAGCCAAGGTGGAGGTGATAGCCCTAAATGTGGCTTTCTTTTTAGGGTCGGGCTCTGCTCTACCACTCTTTCTATCCTAAAATGAATATGTATAAGTGATTAGACAGCTAAGGGCGGCGGCCACACCTGCCCTCGCCTGCTCCTCGGGGGCTGCTGCCCAGCCTGGCCGGCCACTCAGGCCCTCGCTCCTGCCTGCCTCGCTGTGCTGGACAGACGGACCAGCAGCTGGACGTGTGCAAGCAGCCCCTGCTCCTGCCCGGTCTTGGGCCTGACCTTGCTTGTGCTGGGGCTGGGCTTGGGGCGTGGGGGTCCCGTCTGGCTCTCTTCCTGGGAGGTCAGTCTGGCTCCCTGGCTCCTGGGTGACCCTGGATTACAGGTGTCCCAAGGAGGAGGGTCCCCCAAGCCCTGGAGGAGTTGCCCCTCGGGCCCTGCCAGCCATTCTGTCCCAAGGGGACGCCAAGATTCAGGAAGGGGCTGAGGGGCCAAAGGCAGGTGGCAAGATGAATTGGAGAGATAGATGGAGGTGGCTTCCAGACCCTGGCCTGGGGTCTGATGGCCAGAATGGCCCTGTGCCAGCCAGTGAGAGCAGTGACCAGGTCCCGAGAACAAGAGTCGGCAGATGAGAGGTGTGGGGGCTCCAGCAACCCGCCCCCCCCGTGGCCCTCCCTCTCTGGACACCAACTTCATCCCCAGACCCAAGCTCTGGGGAGGCACCCAGAGAAAGAGAAGAGATGAAGGAAGCCAGAACTGGGCCGTGGGGCATGAGCCCACAGGCCTGCACAGGCCCCACTGCCTGCCCTATCCCAGGTGGGCAGCCTGTTTCCTGCTGGCAGCGAGTTCCCACAGACACAGCCTGGGGTGCCAGGCAGGGCCAGCTGGCCCGATTCAAGGTGGAGTCATGGAGCAGAGGACAGAGCAGGGCAGCAGGGAAAGGGGTTCCTGGCGGATGCCGAGGAGAGGCATGGGGCGGCGAGGGCAGAATATGTCTTGGACTCACGTGCTACACCCAGGTGGGTCCCTGTCTTACCCTGCCTCAGTTTGCCTTCCTATGGAATGGGCGCCGGCGGGCGACTCTGGAGACAGAGGGGCCAGGCAGAGGCTTGGAGCCGGGCTTTGCAGGGGGCAGCCACCTGCAGGTGGCCCCCCGGCAATGCTGCCCCTGGTTGGGGCTCTTAGCTCCAGTCCTGCCCGCATGGGCTCCTGGGAGCCTGAGCCAGTGCTTCGGCCTGCGGGAATGGAGGAGGGCCGGGGCCAGGCCGGGCCATGGGCACCAGGCCTCGGAGGCTGGCCTGTCCTACCTGCAGGTTCTTTCTCCACACGTTCACGGCTGCGAACGCTAGCTGCATCTGCTTCCGGCGAGCGTCCTTGTGTCGCTTGTAGGCTATCTCAATGAAGATCAGGAAGATCCCGGCCACGATGCCCCCAGCCACCAGCATGAAGACCCCTGTGGGCCAGGACCCAGCACCTCAGCTGTGGGCTGGCCAGTCTGCAGGCCCCTTGGAGGACCCCACCAGTGTTAGCAGGGGCGTTGAGGGAAACGGGGAGGCCTACCTGCCATGTTCTCAAAGGTGAGGGTAGCAGGGGCGTTGCTGCGAGAGTCACACTCCTGGTACCGCACCCATGTCTTGTCCAGATCTTCCATGAAGCCATTCTCATGGGACCTGGGAGGGAGCATCCTGGAGTGGGCGGGGCACCGGGGTGGGGCCCCCGTTGGGGTGGCGGGGTGCGTGTGCCTAGGGGTAGGGTCTGGCTCTGGGGAGGGGTTGGCCTCTGGTGGGAGCCTCTTGGAGAAGGATGAAGGGCAGCAGGCAGCGGGTGAGGCAGACTCACTTGAGGATGGACAGGGAGACATTCTGCTTCCAGGGGCTGTCCTTGCGCATGCCAATGCCAAAGCCCGAGCGGAAGAACAGCTCGCCAGTGGTCACTAGGTCGCACTTCTGGGAGGCCTCGAACTCCAGCACTGCCGAGTCCCAGATGAAGGCGTGAAGCTTGCTGTGGGCAGGGGCAGGGGTCACAGGCGCCCTGCACAACCAGGCTGCTTGCAGTCTCCACCTCCTGCCCACCTGGAAACCTTACCTCTGTTTCCATCCCGCGGTTCCCGTCCAGCCTGGACACACACACTTTTCCTGTAGGGGCGGATGCCCCTCCCTGCCTGTCCCCCCACAACTTGTCCCGCCCGCCCCTCCCCCTCACCGGTCCCGCCCGCCCCTCCCCCTCACTTGTCCCGCACGGCCTGGATGGCCTCGGCGGCGCTCTCGTAGTTGTGCTTCTCCATGTGTCGGTACATGGTGCTCAGCTCCACCTGCCGCCGGAAGTAGATGTCCACCGAGCTCTGCTTCACCGTCGCGTAGATGAACTTGTCGGAGGGATTCCTCAGCTGCAGGGTCAGAGGGCAGGGCTCGCTGCTGCTCCCGGGGCCCACCCCAGACAGAGTTCCGCTGACCTCCCCCTCCTCGCCCCCAGCCGGCCAGGCCTCACCCGTGGGTCGTTGATGCCCGTGATGCGCTCCTCCGGCCGGTCCAGCACCAGGAAGGCCGCCAGGTTGGCGGTATAGGAGGCCACGATGATCATGGCGAAGCCGGCCCACACCATGCCCAGGATGCGCGCTGAGAAGCTTCGGGGGGCGCCTGCGGGCAGAGAACGGTCAGCTCCGGGCAGGCGGGAAGGGGCGGAGCGGGATGCGGCCGGGCGCGGCCTCACCTTCCCCGATACCCGAGTTGAGCAGGACGCCCCAGGAGAACCACATGGCCGAAGACAGGGTCAGCGCGTCTTCCTCCTCCTCTTCACTGTTCACCTTGAACCGGCCGAAGGGGCTGCGGGGCGCAGAGGGCGGGCGGGAGAGGGCGGGAGGGGCAGCCCTGCCCCGCCCCCTCGCCCGGCTCCGCCCGCCCCCGCAGAGGGAGGTGTCCGGCCCCCGGGCCGCGCTCACCTGAAGCGGTCCAGCAGGTACAGCATCACGGCCACCACGTGCACCGACAACCCCACCAGCAGCCACAGCGTGCTCTGGAAGGGCTGCATGAACGAGTCCAGCGTGCTACGGGGGATCTCCTGCAGGTGGACAGGTTGTCAGCGCCACCCGAACTCACCTAGGACCCCACCCCAGCCGCGCTGGGCCCTGCCCACCTTCTTGACCAGAATGGTCAGGCCCTGGTACTTGAAGGGCTTGGAGAACTCGATGTACTGTGCACGCTCGTTGTTGATGGTCAGCGGCGCCACGATCATGTCCGCCTGCCCGCTGAGCAGCTCGCCCATCATCCCATTCCACTCCTTCTTATTGCTGTTGTTCACCTGCGGGGCGATACAGCTGGTGGGCGCGCGCACGATGTCAGCCCCACTCCCGCGACAGGCTCCTGCCCTAGCTCAGCTCTTGGGCCCACCCACTCCAGACCCCATCCCAGTCCGTTGGCCCCGCCCGCCCGCCCGCCCCCGCCGGGCCCGCAGGCCCCGCCCACCCCGGCCTTGTCCTTAGCCAGACTGCTTCCCCCCGGACCCGTCCCTCGTGGCACCCAGCAATCCACGCGTACCCGCTCTTGAGTGCCGAACTTGCCATCAGCCACCAGGTGCACCTCGTAGGTGAAGTTCATGGTGCGCGCCAGCTTGATGAGCAGATCGATGCAGAAGCCGTAGCAGCACTGAGGCACTGTGTGGCGAGCTGGAGACGCGACAGGGGCCATTACCGCCGAGCTCCCGGCCCCTCCGCCCCGCCCCGCCCCGCGCCCCAGCCCCGCGCTCACGGCTGCCTGGCGACGTGTCGTTGGGTCCAGTGCAGATCACTTTCTTGACCGGGTCCCCATTGACGGTGAACTCCTCCTTGCATGTGCCATCGCTCAGCGTGGGCTTGACGTACACGAAAGGCTCCTGATGGATCGTCACAATCTGCGGGGGAGGGGGAGGGAGAAGACCCAGCTTGGACCACTCACCCTAAGCCCCCAGACTCCCCTGGATGCCCTACAAATCCCTGACATCCCCCCACCTCCAGCCGCTGCCCCTCCGTGCTCAGCTCCACATCTCCCTGGCCACTCTCAGCAACATCTGCCTGTTGTCCCCTAGAGGGTCCCCAGACTACTCAGCGTTCAGAAGGCTCATGGCCTCCTGAAACACTGTCCCCTCCTCTTGGCCACTTGTCTTTGGGGTATTGGCTTATGCATCACTCCCTCCATCAGAGCCTGCTGGAATGTCCAGTCTGCCCCGCACCTTCTCTGATTTCTCAGTGGTGAAAAACTCCCTGTCCCAGCGCAGAGCATGCATCCTGCCCCCCACTGCCTACCATGAGGACAGGGGCATGTCTGGCACCCACCCCGAGTCTGCACAGGACCTGAGACCCACAGGGATCACCCTTATCTGGTCACCTGGCCCCTCCGGCCCTCAGCCTCCTCAGCGGTGCGTATTTGACCACCTAGCTTTGCTCCCTCCTTCTTTCCTCCGTGGTTGCCGTCCTCTCTCCCACAGCTTGCCTCTCAACCCAAGGCCCCCTTGAGGCTTATGCTGGGGTTCTCTCTTCTCCCTGTCTTTCACGGGCCCAGAGGCTGGGGGTGAGGAGGACACGTATGGGACATGGGGAGCTGAACCAAATGCAACATACTGATGAGGGGCCCCAGAGGAGGTGATGTTGGAATTGGGCATGCAGAGTAGGCAGGGATCAGTTTGAGAGGGACCGTCTGGCACACTGGGGAGGGGGGGTCTGCAGGGTGGGTTGGCCAGAGTCTCAGCTGCAAGGGCAGCATTTTGACTTTTCCCCCCTGGGGGATTGGGAGCACCTGAAGGAGCTTACTGCTTTTTAAACTTTCATCATGTTTTCTTTAAAAAAAAAGTGTTTTTCTATTATACAAGCAATATATGTTTGTGCCTTTAAAAAATCGGTGAGACCAAAACACCTTGCACAAAGCCATCTGCAATCTGGCAGCCTGAATGGGACCATCTGGCCATCAGTGTTTGGGCTCCTACTTTCAGACTTTTAAATACAAGGTATCGAACTGCTTTGGAAAAGCCCACTCTACTTGTTGGGAACGATGATGACTGTGAAGAAGGGAGGAGCCCAAAGGAGCAAGGAAGGGAAGTTTCGAGGGGAAAGGCCAGCAAAGGAGGGGCTCCCAGAGGCCCAGGGAGAGAGCCAAGGAGGGAACAGCCTGCTATGGGGAATGCCCCGGTGGTGGGGGACAGAGCCAAAAGGACAGTGTGACTCAGTCACAGCAGGAGGCTGTGAAGACTGGGGGTGGGGTGGTTAGGTGATGAGTATGGAAGTGGCAGCTCGAGAACCAGAACTCAGGATGGAGAGTGCTGCAGCTGAGGTCCCCAGAATAACTACCTAGTGGTCCCTCTGTCCCCTATCAGCTCATCCCCGGAAGAGTCCTGTCCCACACGGCTTCTCTAGACTCAAGTGGAGTTGGATCAGGAGAGGCACTGGAGAGAGCCCATGGGATGGGGGGCCAGCAGCTTCCTCTCGTCCCTCCACCTGCTCTCCCTGCTTCCTCTGTGGTGCCAAGTGTGGCCTACAGCAGCCAGGTGCCGGTCATTCCCCACTTCCTTCAGTCACTTTCATTGGCCTCACTGTCCCCCGCCCCCCAGGCCCAAGGAGCTGGATGGAGCATCGGGGGTGTGGACGCTGGCAAAGGGGGGCAGGATCCCTACCTTCAGCCTGGTGGACATCTGGTACCCTCGGGGCTTCTCTGTCTCTCCACCTGGCCAAATGATCTTCCTGTCATTAGGGATGACCTGGGGGTGGGAGTATGAGATGGAGGGTGGCCACGCAGGGGTCTTGGCCCCAGGACCCTAAGGCCCCAGCCCCCACCCCCTCATGACCCCCACCTACATGGGTGCCGTTGTAGATGCCCACTTGCACCAGCTTCCGGTTTTGTAGGTTCATGATGCTGTAGTTAGCAAACTTCCGATCCCCATCCTCATTGAACTCCACGCGGCCTGTCACCCCGTCTGCATACTTGGAAGACATCAGCACTCTGGAGAAGGCATTGTGGGCAGACTTATCAGAGACGCTCCCTCTCCCTGGCCTTTTGAGCCCAAGCCCCTTTTCCTGCCTCAATCCCAAGAAGGAAAGATCAGCAGATGTCAGACCCTCGTGCTGGGCATCTGGTGGACAGTGTGCTGGTCTGCCAGCACCAGCCCCTCCCCACTGGACCTACGGACAACACAGCTATGGTAGCCCAGGAACTCCTGAGCACCAGACCCTATTCGAGGGCTTTCTGTGGGTTGGGACAGCCCCTCCCAGCAGCCATCCTTGCTTCACAAACGAGGAGGAGTAAGTCCAGGTAGGATGCAGTAGCCTGTTCACCAGCAAGTGGGGGAGGTGGGGTTGAGGTCCTGTCTTGTGTGCACACGGGGCCACATATGTGACACACGTGATCTTTGTGTGGATGCACCCCTATGCACGTGCTTGTGGCACGCCTGTGTATGTGCCACTCACCTCTCTGAGTCTGTGCACACGTGCTGCATAGATCTGCAGTTGCGTGTGTACCCCTGTTGTAGGCACTATAACTGTTCTGCACATGCTACTCAGTGTTTGCTATTTAGTGGGGTGGGGTGGATCTGGTGATGGGCTGAGTGGTATAGCGTCCGGGGTGCTGTGACTTATCTCCTGCCCCCTTGTGGCCATCCACTTGGGCATCTGGCCAATCCTGGCTCTCTACAGGCTTGGTTTCCATCCTTGGGGTCTCCTTTGTCTGATCTGCTGGGTCCCTGGAAGCCCCCTGTCCCCAAATGCAGCAGGAGCCTCCTCCCAAGGGTTGTTAGGCACCCTGTGTAGGTGGGGTGGGTCTCAGGGTTGGCTGCAGTGTTAAAAGGTGGGGTCAGGAGCAGTGGAGACAGCCATGACTTCACTGACATTTGAAGCGTTAATGTCGGTGTTGGAAATGAGGTGGATGATTAGCACAGTGGAAACGGAGGTGGTGGTGGTAGGAGAGAGGTGGGGGAAGAGGAGCGAAGTCGGGGAGATGACGGTATCTGCACCTGCTGAAGAGAACTACTCCCATCTCCTGAGAGGCCCCGCCCACCCGTAGAAGAGAACCTCGCCCACCTCTGGAAGATAGTCCCCGCCCACCTCTAGAAGAAAGCCCCGCCCACTTCTGG